GCACTTCAGCGCCCGTCCGGCGCACCACACCCCACACGGCGTCGGCACCTATACCACACAGCTAAGTCAAGAAGGCGCTCAGGCGCCCCGTGGCAGGCGAAGTCGGTGTCGTCGGCTGCCCGGCGAGCACATCCATGATGTCGTCGACCGGAGTGGCCACCCTGGTCCACCCCTCAGCCCTTGCGCGTGAGTCGTCACCCCTAGAAATGGCGTCGGACACATTGGACGCCGAAGGGACCCTATGGATCTCGGGCACCCACTGCCTGTCGGCCGCCAGGCCCCAGAACGAAGCGAGGATGCCGTTGGGTTTTTCCCGTAGCGCCGCAGCCCTTCATCAGGGCGAACTGCCCGGCGACATTGTCCATGAAGGCAATCCAGTACGGGCTGAGGCGCCTGGCGAAGGTGACCAAGGGCAGGACCTGGGCGACAATTTCAAGTACATAGATAAAGGCCTTCCTGGCGGCGAAGGGGGCCAGGTGCTCCGGTCGAATGACGCCGTAGTCGTAGAAGACGTGGCCGTCCATGAGCAGAACAAACCCCCAACCATTCTGCCACCCAGCTGCGCGAGGGACGGCCTCACACCATCCAGGAAGAAAGCGTCGGCGTAGAGGACCGACGACCACGAGGCGAGGTCGCGCCTGATCCACCAGGCGTCGCAGCGCCATGAGGGCGGATCTGAGACCCACCGAGAGGGAGTGGTCCGAGTGGGCCGCGCTGTTGGCCGCGCGAGAGTTATAGAGCGGCTGGACGATGTGGACTGAGCCAGGAACGCCAAGCGGCCAGGCGCGACGCAGCGTCGTGGATCTGGTCCAGGATCCTGGCCCTTCGCTTCTGTGGGGGCGAGCTCCACCCTTTCCGGCCTGACAGACAACTCGATGTGCTGCATTGGCCGGTTGGAAGGCTTAGTCTGGAGCCCGAGGAGGGCGAACAAGTCAGCCACGGCGTGGTCGGCGAGGTCTTTCTCGTCCACACCGTTGAAGTCGTCCACAAAGTGCCCGAGCAGGACGAGAAGGAGCGACCGGAGCAACATCTGAACGGCGTCTGCCGCCCGGTTGGCGAAATGGAACCACAGGGTGACCCCGTCGTGGAGGGGAGGAAGGTGCCACAGCGGCCGGGCAGCGAACCGCGCAGTGGCGGTAAGCCTTTTGACCAGGCGCGGAGGATGAGGTCGACGATGCCGCCCAAGAAGTGGTGCGTTGGAACATCGGAGGCGGTCATCGTGGCGTTGTGTCCAGACCGTCGCCAATCCTCCCCATGGAAGCTTCAGATAGAGGGCGAAGGAGAGCGCCGCGAAGCAGTCCCCGGCGGGGGGCTGGCGGAGGACGCCCATGCCCACAATGGACGGCAAGGCCGTGGTGACAACCGACCAGTGTTCCGGAGCGGCGCACGGCCCAGTAACTTTGGCGAGCCACCAGCTCATCCAGGAGCGCCTTCGTGTGCTCCTGATCGCAGGGCCGAGAAGACTTCCTGGCCACGTACGCCGGGTTCTGCCGGGCAGCACAGCGATCATCGGAGCAGGGCTTCCAGGACCGGGATTCCTTCAGGACGTCCGCCGCCAAAGTTAGACCCTGGAAGGGTCTGGGCCTGATCAGTGGTGGTGTAAGTGGCCCGGACGTGCTGCGGCAAGGAATTCAGCCACGCGACCATCTCGTGTTCTGCGGTCTGCAGCTCCTTGAAGGACCGCGGCTGGTTCGAGGGTATAGGCCAGCCAACAGCCGAGTGCTGCAGCTCGGCCCTGCCTGGCTTAGGGGGCGGGCCACAAGTCCCACCCACGCCGCAGCCAAACCTGCGAAAGTGAGCGCACTACTGGCCGCCTATGCTGAAATTGCCGCCGCCGCCAGCGGGACCTCGCCTATACGTCCTTTGACGCCTGGGGGCTCCTCGTTCAGGCCTACAACGAGAAGCTCCTCGAAGCGGCGCACAACATCATGGCCGTCCACACCAGTCTCGGCTCCGCACTTGGAACAGGCTCGCCTTTGAGGGCCGCGTGGCACGTGGCCTATCACGACGTCTTGGAGGTTCTCGGCGCCGCCTTCCGGACGTGGGCGGTGGTTTCGACGGCGAGTACGCGCCCGGAACCTTGGTACCTCGCCCGCATAGGCCCATGGTCTCGGGTTGCTCATTGCCCTCAAGGCCGGGGAGCTGATGACCTCGTCGCCCGGTGCGGGCAGCGCATTGGGCAACCGGGTGGGTTCTGAGCGCGACGGTGTCAGGAGTGTTGGTCCGACTGGTTCATCAGCCCCCGAGCTGGAGTGAGATTTCGCCCGCTTCGCCGGGTTGGCTTTTGGGCGGTCTGAGCTCACTTCGCCGGGCGCTCGAAAAGATGGACCGGTCCTTCTCGTGTCGGCTGTGCTGCGCCTGAGCTTGCCCCCCTAGCACCCCCCCTATATACCGCCCAGGCCCTTGTCGGCAGGAGACGTTGTGGTACGGTACCTGCACGCGGCCTCGAACAACGGCCACCCTGGCCCTGGTTGAGCCCAACCAGGCTCGCTTCGAAGCGACGGTGGTCGACCCGTTCCTGGCGGGCATGACAAGGATCCCCAGCAGTCGCGAGGCAACGCCCCAATGCCAGCCACAAGGGCGCCCCCGACGACGTGGAGGGCCCCGGCATCAGTGGCGTGTAAGCTTTGGAAACCGTGTGCTCGTACGTGATGGATTCTGGCAGCACTGCGTCTGCTTTGGCCGGCCCCGCTGCCACCACTGCAAAACCGTGACCGCCTGAGGTGGCGGCGGAGCTGCCAGAAGCGCTTCAAGAGCTACGGACGAAACGCCCGCCGCCGATCAATGACGCCCTGCCGAACCAGGGAGGGGAGGACCTCATGCTGGCCCGCCCGGCGAAGACCCACGGCGCCACAGCGCGGGTCCATGATGAGCGAAGCTCCAGCGTTTGAGCCGACAACCCCTACAACCCCAAAGGATCAACCAAGAGAGGGAGAAGAGGGGCAGGAAAGGGAGGGAGAGGGAGAGAGAGNNGAGAGAGAGAGAGAGAGGGAGGGCTCCAGACGACCTCTTTTTCGAAGCGGCGCTCCAGGGCGAAATCTGTGAAATGCTAGCCCGCAAAAGAGGTGTCCCGGCGGCAGGCCTTCATCTTAAACAACGTCCAGGCGACCATGTAGAACTCGCCTCAGTCGGAGAAGCGCTGCCCAGGCGTGGGCGGGGCGCAGAGCCGGCACTCGTGGTTCTCGTGCGGGTAGTTCACAGCTCGAAGGCACCGATCTCCATGTGGGCAGGGTTGCCCGTCCCGGCGAAAGGAGCCCGGGCAGCGCACAAAGCACCAGCCGAAATAGTAGGTCCTGATGTCCCAGGCGGCTCGGCCGGGAGACGCCGGCCCCTGACGTCGTGTGAGAGGGCTCTGAAGTTATTTCGGTGGACACGCACTGCGGGTCGGGAACCGCTCCACAGGCGATGTCGCTCTCCAGGCGCTCTGCTTCCGGTCAGGAGTTGGTGTGCGGCACCTCCGCGCGGCCGGGTCGTGAAGAGGGAACCGGTCGTCGTCCCAAGCATTGGACGATCTACGCCCAGCCGAGCGTTGGCTCCTGTTGCGGGAGCCGTACCCAAACCGCCCGACCACGTCGGGGTGGGAGGCGGAAGCACTGAGGACGAAGCCGCCGTAGACGCCGCTGTCGGCAAAGGCCCCGGCGAGGAATGCGGGACGCCGCTGCCGACGAAGTCCGGGAGTAGGCGCCGGAGTCGCGGGACTGCTGCCTGTCAGTTGTGACCTCAGGCGCCTGTGCCCTAGGCGGCCTGGCGGCGAAGGGCTGACCACCTCCGAGGCTGCGAGTCGCCTGTTCCCGACGGATGAAGGCCTGGCGGCGGAGGTGCTCCCGGGACGGGCCCGGCCCACGCGGAGCATCGCCCGACCGACGAAGCAGCCGCTTTCCCAGACGAATTCGCTCCAAGCGCGTCTGCTGCTGACTGGGGGGCCGGCGTCGGGTCCGCCTTGGCCGGCTGAGCCTTCTCCACTGGCGGGGGCGGCTGTTCGATGACTCGCCCCATGTCGTCGAAGCGATAGGGCGCCTTTCGGACTGCCAGCGCCTTCTTGACGGGAGGCTTGGCGTGGGCGTCCCCCCAAAAAAAGGCAATCGCCCGGTCCGGGTACACCACGGGGGGCCCTTTAAAGGTGTGCCCCGTCGTAGGCACCTGCTGCGGCAAGGCCGGCGGCGCCTTTTTGAACGGCGCCTTCTTGGGAGCCCCGTCGATGACGAACTCGCCGAAGAAAACGGCAAGGCCGTCGGGGCGGGAGGGGCGTTCACGGACGCCTCCTTCTCCTGGAAAAACTCCTCAAGGGCGGTGGGCTCGCCATCATCGTCGGGCAAGAAGGCGACCTGCTGTTCCTCCCGAAAAACCCTCGCCCCAACCGGCGCCGGGTCGTCCACCGCCAGCCGATACGCCCCGTCGAGGCGAGCGCGATCTCTTGGCGACAACGCCCTGATGGCGGCCGCGAGAGCCTCCTGCGTGTTGTCGCCGATGAAGGACGAGAAGGACACCGCCGCGTCGGTCTGAACGGAGACGCTGGCGATGTCGAAGGCGAAGCCTGGCGTCGGAACCTCAGCGACCAGCTCGATCCTCGTCGCTCGAAAGAGGCACGCCCATGACCGGCGGCCCGACGTCTTCATCCACTGCTGCCGGCGCGTCGTCGAAGGCCTGGGCGCCCAAGGTAGGCAACCCGGCGAGCACCCCTGCCGGTTGGCCCGACGTGGGCTGCCCGGCGCTCTCTCCAATCTCGCCCGGCGCGGGCGAAGCCTCAACCAAGGATGCCGTAGTCGCCGATGTCGACATAGGTGGCGGCGCCACCAAGTCCTCGGCGACGATGTCAAAGAAAGCACCCGGCGAGGAAGGCGAAGCCATGTCCGAGGCGAGGCGAAAGGAGAGAGTGGGGAACAATTCAAAAACGGTCGAGCCGATGCAGCTGCACGGCTCGACCGCTTACGCTTGTACCTACACACACGCGTGTGTTACACAACAATTCTGTTCTCCAATCTTTATCCGAAAAATCCTGCGTCGAGGGTCCATCTGGTGAACTCTTCCTGTACTGGATGGGATCATGTCGAACTGCTTCAATACGACCCAAGTCCCGAAACTCGGTCAAAATACAATTCAATCTATGGTTTCGTCTGCTTCTCATGTGCTGCCGAAGTTGGGCTTGGGACCATGTCAACTTGGAAATGCGTGCACGGTCCGACCTATCCTTGCATTGACGCCGTTGTACAAGTAGATGTTTCAAATCTGTTCGATACAACGGTTTCATGTCCACACCGTCTGCACCTGTAGATTGCTGCTTTCCTCGCTCTGAACATTGCAACACACAGTCATCTGTTTGCTTGAAAGTCGCTGCCACTGACGCTTGCCATGCGCTGTTAGCTCTGACTGGTATGTGGACTCCAAAATCGTTGGCCTCCAACCCTTGTTTTGTTCTACATGGTGTGTGTTGATGTGCTTGCATAGCTGCCGGCTCACGGTCTCAACTTCAACACACATGAGGCACAAGCTAGAAAAACAGGAGAACCTTCGCACTGTCATGGCTCCGGTACAGACTGGCAGGCAACTGAAAATAACTGTAGATGACCGGGTGTGCAGGAGTTCCACGAGCACATCATATGCTTTTGCCTCCCGCCTTGCTAGGACAAACCTACGCAGGGTAGAGTAGTACTTGGTATTGAAGACAGTGAGTTCCGTGATGGTTCACGCTGGTGGACCAAAGAGAAACTCCAATGCTTTCCGTTTCCCACGCATGAAAAGGATGCAGACTGCAGCGCGAAGAACACGTCGAACAACATCATCACGCGGCCTGTGCGTAAGTTGCTGGCCCAGGCGTTTCCTGTCCAATCTGCTCCTGACAAGCATGACACTGGCATGACCAAGCAAGAGCTCCTTTCCGAAGATTGAAAAACACCTGCCTGAAATCTGTCTTGTCCACCAATGGTCGTGGCGTGATCATCCCAAACGCTTGGCAGCTCGTACGATCCAGGCCCGACCTTGGCAACACTAGGCTCACCAGGCTTGCAAGTTCAAGTGTTGGAAGTGGAAAAGAAAGACGGTATTGACAAACGACCGTGGTCGTGTGCATAATTCATTCCACTCAAAACGACACTCTCACTTCCTCGGGTCACCACAGCACATGTAGCTGTAGCTTTCCCCCCTACGAAGCGGGGCGACTTCTGCTTGGACCACATCATTGGTCAGATGAGCCTGGGCATGACACTGCCACTGACATGTAGCGTCAGAACTGCTTCCAGCCTGCACGGATCCGACTCTTCCTCGCACCCCTGAAAGAGGCTCCTTGCCAAATCTTGAGCCAACACTGCAGCTTGTGTGGCCAGGTGACTCCACGTTCGCCTGCTACAATATCCCATGAAACTAGCAGCTTCCCCACCATTGGGCACTCCCCCCTCCCAATGTGCACTGTTGAATTAAACAACTTATGCCAGGTGACATGACATTCTGCGCATGAGCATTTGCTATGCAAAAACCAACTGCAAGCAAGACTGACTAACTTCCGAAGTGCCACGAGCCCAACATGCCACATTGCCACGAAGACGATTATCAATGGAATTCTCAACAAGCCGAGACTACAGTCAATTCCATCCACTGTCGGGATCACTATGGGACCGCAAACTCAGGGCCGAAACAAAGGCCATGTAAGCGTGGTAACGGCAAACAGACAAGGTAGTAACGGAAATAACCCCACAGCAGGTCGTCACATCCACGACCATCTCACTGCTTCGAGACAAGCGAAATCACGCACTTTGGCGTCACAGACACTTGTTGCTCTCATGCTGCCGTACATGCAGAAGGCACCCTCAGGCCAATCCTGGAAAGTTTGACTTAGCAGCAGGAGTGTACCACTCGGCAGGGCATACTGTCTCCTTCGACCTGTATCATTTGGACGGAGTTTGTAGTTCGAGCAGCCTGCAGGTTTCAGGGCTGAAGACAGTGGTTTACAAAGCCCCAGTGCCAGTCATACTTGCAGCCAAGAAAGGACTGCAAAGCATTCCACAGAGAGGGAGAGAGAGAGTCTCTCAGCCCAGACAGGCTAGCAGGCCCCAGCCGGCAGGAAAACAGGCAGCCACGCAGCCAGGCCGGCAGCCAGCCACAAGCCGGAGAAGGGAAAGAGGGAGGAGGGAGGGGGAGGGAGAGGGGAGGGGAGTGAGGGGAGGGAGGGGGAGGGAGGAAGGGAAGGAGGGAGAGAGCAACACCTTATACACATTGCGTTTTCGCTTGGCCCACGAACACCTTTCAAGAGGTGCCTGGCAGCGCACCGTACAACTGCCTCGGCAAGAACTTTGCGAACTCTGGAGGTCATGGCTCACGCGCAGCCAAGTCGAGATCCAGGCCTTGTTGCTTCCATTTCTCGCTTCATCTCCGGCGGTAGAACTTAGTGAGAATGTGACAGCAAATCAACTAAGCTTCTGCATGCTTCCACAAACCAATGCACAAGTACCTTTCACGGCAGTACTGAGATGCCACGACAGCCACCAAAAACACATGCTTCCCACCTTTGAGAAGCAGCAAGGAGCCACATCAAGGTGCAACAGACACAACTGGGTCAGTAAGTCTGCTCCTCCTAGGTCGTCGAAAAACAGCTCATCGTTTGGGAGGTATCGGTTCCGTGAGTTGTAGAATCCTCCGACCAGGCCCCCGAGTCTGCAAGCCCTTCTCCCGGATTTGTTGATACATGCACGGCATCCTGATAGCCTACCTCCATCAATTGGCTTAGTGTCTTGGTGCGCTGCTTGCGGCAAAGGCTAGGGTGGTGCTGCAGATTTGGGTGATGTCGTCCCCCAATCCACAGTGTTCCTAATTCAATTAGGTTGCTTCCACCACCAAACCCCGAAGAAGCAGGGCCGACAGAATTCACGGACGTGGCTGCATCCAGCCCAAAACTGCCATGGGAAAGCGTGATCATGAGTCGCCATGCACACATCAACAACAAGCGCACTTCAGGAAAGGCACAGAATACAGGAGTAAAATGCTGTCATGCAAGTGACAAGGCTTGTATCTATACTTCGTTGCGCACAGCATGCAGAGGATGCCATTCGCCATCACGTGCCCCGGCACATGCCCTTGGACTGGTTTGCAACACAAGATTGTGCTTGTCGTGCTTTCTGATTGGTATCTGATTGGTACATGTTTGAAGCAGTGGACTGGGTTAATGCCAGCACACATGACGATTGCACGTGTATGAAGCGAGAAAACATGGTGTCACTGAATGATTACTTGAACAGCACGCGTCTCTCATGCATCAGGCATGACTTCAACCCGCATCACATACCCTCACATACTGCGGGACAGTCGGAAGTGTCACCTAAATAATATCACTGATCGCCGGTCGAGAAGGCATTTGGGTGTGCCAGTAAGAGCTGCACGCTGAGCCAGCTTCATCCATCTTGGCACCACCAGCTTGCGAAAAGCTTCTCCTGCGTGCTAGGGACATGAGCTGGAGACGGCTAGGGTAGGACTCCGGCGTGTGTCTGCCTGCGGCAGCTCGCAAAGAGGAGAGGACCAGATTCCGTTCCTCTTCATCCTGGCTTTCAGCATCTCCAAGATCACATCTTGCGGGTCACTACGGCCCCGTCCTGACACAGACTCTCGAACCTTCGCCGCCAAGAGCTCTAGCACCGCATTCCGGCAATTCTGATAAAGTTTCTGGGGCACCGGCGACTGCTGCTCGTCTTCAGTCAGCAGCCCGGTGTCTTCGATATCCTGTTCCGCCAAAGCGGGTACCATCTGAACTGTCTGTGTCGCTCTTCCCGGCGTCCTGCTGCAAGTCCTGCCACAGAGCATCGTTCCTTGCAGTCACATGCCCAATTGGCTTTGCAACTGTTGCACCAAAACAACGGTCTCAGCAATGGCTGAAGGGTCGGGACCTTTCGTTTGATGGTCCTTCCGGTTGATCCTGTGAAATGGCTGGTTACGAGCACGGCATATGTCTTCGGCTACTCAACAACGCATCGCCGCAAGCTTTTTCACACCTAAACGCCGAGATAAAGCAAGGCGGTACTCACAGAGAGTAACTCCACCTCGTCGAGGAAAATCTCGTCGCCAAGGGCTGCCTGATACCTGCGAGACGGGATGGTCCCAATAGAGATGCGCTGTGGCTGCAATTCTGGTCGACCGTCGACAATCACTTCTCCTATCGGTTGTCCGTGCCAGACGCCCAGACAGAAGTTACACATTTCAACAATAAGGCTCCGACTCGGCGTACTGCGCAGGGTTGCGCAAGATCTGCGCGTACCTGGAAGTCTTGATTTACTCTAACTAGAATTGTTTCATCGTGCGGTTCAGGGGTCACTTCATCGCATTCGGTCCAGTGACTGCCGCCACCACAGGCACACCAATCTCAGCCACAAGCAGTGGCTGGCTGTCACGCCGGTCCGGTTCGAGACATACCGAGTTGCTAACCCATGGTCCAGCGATGCCCATGTCAAAGACCCAGCCCCTGTCTCCAACCCGAAGATATCCAAGCCTGATCATTGAGTAGTCGGCATCAAGGCTGGCATATGAACAAACTGCACAAGGCCTTTGAATAGCCTGTTATATAGTGGATTATGGCGCATTGTATACAGCACAAAGAGGCGCAGACGACGAGAGTGAAGACGAGGATCCATGCACGTCCAAGCTCTTGGCCCGGTGGAGTCTGACGGGGGTACAGCTTCTGTAGCTTCGAAGACTTCCCCGACCTTCTTCAAGCAGCAAGCTTGCGCCCAAGGTTTCGGACTGCATCTGCCTTGATCATGTCGCCTGTCAGCTCTGAATCCTGCCGACACAGGCAAGCAATGGGGTTTGCGTGTGCAATGGACCTGATTGACTCATCTCTGGGGCATTCTGGGGCACAGCACCGCATCTGCTTCTGCACGCAAACGAATCCTCGGCGAGCACGCGGCGGGTGCTTCCAGCGCGAGTTTTTGGCACTTGGCAGGACCAGGCGAGGCGCTCAGGCTGTCAAATACGAGAAAATGCTCTGACCATGCTTTGCCAGCAGACATGACGTATGCCTCGTTGCCTTGGCCAAATGAAAGGAAACACGGCAAGCATACGCCTTCCCGGCTTAAGCACTCTGGACGATGACTTGCTTGCGAATTTCCGTGCAGAGGATGATCCATGCCTCTGCCTGAATTGCGGTACGGTATGCTGCGGTAATTATCCCGATCTCCAGTGCTGCTGTAACTTTCTTCAAGTACCCGCTTGGTCAAGAAGGCTCCAAGACATTCACGCCCAAGCACTGCCGACAGTGGCAGTATATCTGGCAGGGAACACGGGCCAGTCGGACCACAACTGTGCAGGCCAATGCTGCGAATGCAAGACAGAGACGACACCCAAGCCCCGAAACAGGTTCTACTGCTATCAGGTTTAGGGGCCCCCCGCACATCTGGTGTCCAACATTGCCACCATCTCTCGAATCGAACCCTTCCTCGCGCTGCAGTATAACTAACCTTCGACTCGGACTTCCTTTTGTCCTTTGAAACGGTTGCTTTCCTCGCCCTCTGCTCCAGTGCATGCACTGAGGGCGCGACGCTGTCTTAGCTATGTAAATTCCCGGGGCTGCCTCAAAAACACAGCTTGAAAATGGTACCGCTGCAGCACGCAGCTGGACCTGGGCAGGGTAGGCGCCGTAGGTATCCATGGACTCGCCGTCACTGTCACTTCTGACCTAGATGCACTTTTGCATCAAGGAGATGCACTAAAGCATAAAAGCATCGAGCAGAATCTAGCAGCTAGCATTGCCACCTCAGGATCTTCTGCTACATGTATCTCTTGCTTGGCCGCCGACCACACAATGCCTTGAGCCAGCCACACCACTTCCGAGTCCTCCGACTGCGTGGAATGGCCACAAAGCGACATCCGTTTCAAGTGTGTCCTTGGAGCGCTCGCGACCAGCCAGCCTCAACTTCGAAGAGATGCAAATCGAGATAACCACACCATGACGGGAATCCCGGGGAAAGGCGAAGCCATTGACGTGCCGCTGCACGTGAATCTGCACAAGCACCTCGACTGGCAGGACAGAGACACCAGTGATCACCAGCCGATGCCTGAGGCACCTGCAAAGGCAATTACAGGCCAACACTTGCCCAAGCGAGATCTCCGGACCGCATGGCCCCTCAGGCAACAGCGGAAACCAGATCGGGACGGTGATGGCTATCTGCGTCTATCTCGCAAGCTGAAGTGCAAAAGGTAAGGTGGGGTGTGGGAACGATGCCGCCGAACTGGCAAGCTCACAATGACACGCTGGGTAAAACTGCTCAGCTTGCAGGTGCCCGGGCCTCGAGTCTCGAGGCACAGACGGAAGCGGCTTATGGAAACGACAGACTACCTGTACCCCGGACAAACCTGGCAACACACAGGCCTCCACACTGGAGACTGCCGCTACATTTCATCATGCGCACTCTGTTCCGGCAACCTTGCCGGTCCCGTGTTGAAACACTGTGCACTAGCGCTACCTGCCATTCGGAGAACTGACAACTCATGCGACATATTTCTGTCAAGCTGCCACATGCTTTTTGATAGCTACAGTATCTTCTCGCTATGAAGGAAAAAAAGGCAGTTGAAATGAAATCTGATCTATGCAAGCTCACAAGCGTGGAGGCTACCGTTGGAATTCACGGAGCCGCAAGTGGACGCGGCCCCGAAAACACACAGCACTGAAAGAAGCTAGGCATTGCGCGGGGAAGCGCCCATCTGCAGGACAGTAAGGCGCATCACGGCCGGGCAAATGTCGGTGCTAAGAAACTGCTTCTCGCTCAGGCAAGCACGGATACAGGCAATGGGTTTGCTTGGCAGGGCGGGAGTGGTCAAGACTGCTGCAATGGTTTGTGGACTGCCGTCCCAGTGAAGCCACTCAGCTGCAAAGAAGCGGCACAACTGCATCCGACTGAGCCATACTGCGCCCTTTGACACTTTGAACGAGGAGCTTTCATAGAGTGTATTGCATCGAGACGAGGCAGAGGCTCTCACGTTTTTCGACTGCCATCCTCCGAATTTAAGCTCGGGGCGCTGCGACGCTGTGGTGCCTCCTGCTCTCAGTTGTTCTTCAGCCTGGAGCTTTCACGCTTTTGTCGAGCGGCGCTCTCGCATCTCGGGCTCGACTCTTCACGGCGCACCACCTTCGTTCGAGGGTCTGTGAGTGAGAATATGCAAGAATTGGATCCTGCGCTTCGGAGAAACGAGCATCCCCCAGAAAGGTTTAGACTCTAGATTCTAGACTCTAGATCATGAGGGACATGCCTGACTGCACCTCGGAAGAGTTTGCGTTTCTGTGCTGCTCGACAAAGCCATCCACTCGCCTGGCCCGCTGAGTCACGAAAGTAAATGCAAGATGCAACTGCTAACAAACCATCCAGAATTTCAGAGAAACGATTTCGGAAAACCGGAAACACGAATCAGAATGGATCCAAGCCCTTGTTTTGCTTGTTTTGTTGTTGGCCAATCGAGGGGCAGTGTCTATCTGGGGAACACACTCGAAGCTGCAAAAGCCCGCCTTCGTTTTCTTGGTCACCCTTATGTAGTTGCATCCTTCTTTCGCTTCTTGGCGCTTGTGTCCTTGGCATGCTCACTCTGCTGGTCCTTATCCTTGGGGGTCTTATCATCCTGTTTCTTCTTCTCTTTATCGCGCTGTTTGTCTGTCTTCTCCTTGGCTTGCTTTGATTCCTTCTTGTCCGATGTCTCCTGCTTCTTATCTTTTATCTCTTCCTTCTTCTTTTTCTCTTTCGTCGCATCCTTTTTCTTGTCCTTCTCCTTCGTCTCCTCATTCACATTTTCCTTGTCCTTTGTCTCATCCTTTCTTTTCTGCTTGTCCTTCGCCTCCTCCTTACGCGTGTTCTCCTTGCCTTTCGTCTCCAGTTTCTTCGCCTCGTTGCGCCCCCTCTCTTGCTTGTCCTCTTCCTTCTTCTTCTTCTCTATGACTTTCGTCTCCACTTTCTTCGCCTCCTTGCGCCCCGTCTCTTGCTTATCCTCCTTCTTCTTCTTCTCCTTCTCATTCTGCTTGCCCTTTTCTGTGACACCTTCTGGGTGAACGTCCTTGCCCTTTTTCTTATCCATGTCCGATGTCTTGTCCTTGTTCTTTGCGTTAGGTTTGGCCGTCTCTTTCGCTTCTGCTGTTTCAATGTCCTCTGACTGCTGCTGGTCTTCTGGCTTCACATGACCTGTCCTCATCCGGTCGTGCCCGAAATCTCCTTTGGTCTGGATCGTTGCTTGTTCCTCGGCAACGCTTCCGTCGATCTCGCCTGTCTTGCCCTCGGGCAAGTCCTACATCAGAGGACAAGTCGAGCATGACGTGCTGCCTGCTAAGCTAACAAACAAGATCACAGAAGCGTCCGTCCTGCTCTTGAATTCCTTGTGCTCGCCCGCCATCTGCAAGCTTCAGATTATTCTCTTCTCGATCTGTCTCGGCAACAGCCGGGTCTCGAGCCATCCCCGATCCCCCTTCAAAAACCGACTGGTTTGTGCCTATGGAGACGTCCTGGGGCGCATGCTGTGACTGCTCGCAAAGAAGCTCAAGTTCCTTGTGCTCTTCTTCTAGTTCCCTCTGAAGTTGGAGCTCATGCTGCCGCTGCTTCTCTTGTCTTTCCTGCTCCTCTAGAAGTTGCCGCTGGATGTCTTGCTGGAGCTGGCACATGGGGGAAGCGGACGAGGACTGAACAGCTCCGTCACCTCGAACCAAGCAGTCGCTCCGATCCTGCCGACTCCAACACATCAACTACTGGAATTATCAGCTTGCACCCCGCGCTGCCTAACTGACAAGCTGGCACCTTGTGACTTTTACCTTCCTGCACCTTCTTTGCTGGGCTTCCGTCGCTCTTATCCTTCTCTTGACGTTTTCGATCTCTGTCTCGAGATCGAGAACGTGATGGTCTGCGTCGGTCGCGCGAGTGCTCACGCCGATCCCGACGATTCCGGTCTCTACGATCCCGGCTCCGGCTGCGGTCTTTGCGACTGCGGCTTCGCCGTCTACTCCTGCGAATGAGAATTGTTTGGATGCGGCAAAGCCTAGCGGCGGACCCCTCCTGGATTTCCTCTTCCCACGTGATCGCCTTCACGCATCGTTACGGATTTCGCTAGAGTCCAGGGCAAGCAAGGCCGACAGTATGCTGTGAGCATGCTGGAGCACTCACCAATGTCTTGCCATCGCCTGGTACGGCTGGAGCTGGAGCTGGAGCTGGAGCTCACCACCTTTCGCCGCCTGGACACATAGTGTGTTTCAAGATTTGGAACAGACAGGTTCTGAAGTTTCGGCCTCAAAAGACTGGCAGCTCTTTGGGTTGTCGGGCCAGTTGCAGTGCTCGAGAAACCCATCGGAGCTGATGAAAATCCAGCAGTTGGGCCCTGCGCAGGCACTGAAAACCCAGTTGCCAAGGCCTCGATATCCGGCCCCCCCGCGGCTTCTCTGCGCAAATTGACACCGATGCTAAATCACAATGGTTGCACAGCTGTCTTGACTGTATGCTGGTTGAGCTCTCGACAGCTGCAGCACCTGTCCAAAAAGGCTTCGGCGAAGAAAGCTGCTCGCAAACTGCGACATGTCGCTCGCAAGTAACATCAACTTCCCTTAGGTTACGGTGTGGCCGTGCTCAAGTCAAAGAGGCAAATTTGCATCTGGCATGCCTTCCGCGTAACTTGCACGTCTGCAGCTACACTCAGCAATGATACTTCAAGAACGATTCAGCGTTTGCTTGCCGTCCTCACACACTTTCCTACCTAAGCTTGGGCGCAAAACTGGCTGTGCTGGGCCAACTCACCATTGGTCGTTTGCCGACTACGTGGGCAAGTGTAGCAGCAGCAGCAGCAGCAGCAGCAGCCGCAGCAGCGAGAGCAGAAGCCACGCCAACACAGAATTGGTGATGGGGGGCTTGCAGCCCACGTTTCCCTCTGTACCGGTGAAGAGTTTCAATACATGTCGCCACCTGTACCGTCGATACCTTTCCTATGACATGGAGCCGCAACACCACGGGAGTGGCTGCCTTGCTCTATGACTCTGTTTGCAGCTTCCTGCTGCGGCGAGGACGCATCAGCGCCCATCTCTGCCATCAGACGAACGCGCCACAAAGCTGCAACGTGCTGCAACCATCTACAACCAACCTGCTCCAGTCTTTTCCACCAAGGCCTGAGCTACAACAATTTCCCACACACGCACACAGTGCAGATTAAGCAGTAGATGAAGAGAAAGACAGTGCGAGAGAGAGAGAGAGAGACAGATAGGCAGACAGATAGACAGACATAGACAGATACAGACAGACACAGAGAGTAACAGAGAGTGACAGAGACAGACGGAGACGGACAGCCAGACACAGACAGACCCAGACAGACAGAGAGACAAGTGACAGAGACAGACAGACAAGTGACAGAGACAGACGGAGACAGACAGACACAAACAGAGACAGATAGACATAGACAGACACAGACACAGAGCGACAGAGACAGACGGAGAAAGAGAGAGACAGACACAGAGAGAGACGACAGAGACACACAGAAACAAACGGAGACGGATCGAGACAGGAATGAAACAGAGAGGCAGACAGACAGACAGACAGACAGACAGACAGACAGACAGACAGACAGACAGACAGACAGACAGACAGACGGCGGACGGACGGACGGACGGACGGACCGGTGTGCCACAAGCTGTGCTGGGCACCACCTGCTCCAGTCTATAATGTCTTCGCACAGGCAAACACATACAATCTCGCATCCAGTCATCTGGGATGCAAGTCTTTGTGGACGATGTAGCGATAGGCTTCAAAGTTTTCTGCGAGATTGAGCACTTCTCATCTGTGATTACTTGATCGTCATAATGAGGATTTTGTTTCCAATTTGCACTAGCAGCCCAGTCATGCCATCCCGGAATGCTGTTGGGGGAACAACACGGCACTAACAGGCACAGATTGGGCAACCGTTGCCTAATTATTGGCAGCACTGTTGGCAACTGGAAAGAAAAAGCCCAACATTCCTTTCTGATCGATGGATGCGTTGCGGCAGGTCACGGACACCTCCACGTTCCAGAAACGAAGGTCGTCAACCGAGAGTGTGGCACAATTGTTACATATACTCTGTAAAACGACTTCTCTTGCCTGCACCCTAGAATAGCAGCCGTAAGATTCGTACACCTTCAGATTGATGTCGATTTTGGCCTATAGACCAGCACGAGCGACATAAACGATCAACACATACGTGCCTTCTGGAAACACACCAGACATATTCTACACCGACGAAGACAAACCAAAAATTGGAAATCTCTGCCTCCATATGGGCGGGTGTCCCCATCAATAAACAGATTGCAAAAACTTGGCAGGAAGTTGGACTTTGTTCCAATAGGGTGTTCACACAACGAGAATCGAAACGTAAACACGAAAAAGAGCAGAGAAAAAGAAATGCAACGCTGAGAAAACCAGACAGACGTCGCAGTGTGTGAAAAGGCAAATGCTGAGGCTCTGTAGCAATGCAGCAGGAGCTGAACCTCCATGACTCAAAATTCGGCCGTGTCACGGCCATCAAGCTCGACGGTGGACCACCAGGGGGCGGCGGATTTCCATGCGAAAACTTGCACTTGTCACCACCTTGGACAATCGGTGTGCAAGGCGGGAACCATGCAGTCGCGATGTTGAGAGTTGTGGCCAAGCATTTCACAACCCTGGCAAGGCGAGCTCCCAACAGCCCTGAGCAGGTCGATTCCAAAACAAGATGCTCACTCGCGTGCAGGCGTGTGAATGGGCTTTAAACAACATCGGCAAGGCAGTGGGAATGTGCACTCGAGCAGAAGCCCCAACAACTTCTGAAGTTGTCCAGTTTTTGGCTGGCATGCCAAAAGGCTGACAAGGCAGTAGCCGGCGTATCAACACAAGCACACTATACTTACATCTTGCTTGACGCTAGGATTATTGGTCGATGCTAGTTTCTCTAAAAGCCCTAACTTTTGTAAACGTCCGCAATAACACCTGGGCCTTCTGCGCAGCAGCGCTGGGCTGCCGACGATGGCATGCTCCGCGTCGAAAATCGCCGCATATCTCTGCTGACTGCACCAGCTTGGGAGCAAAGTGAACCACATGAGATGTCGAGCTCGTCACCTGCCTTGCCCGCATCGATGCTCAGAGGCAAGGACGGTCCACCTAAACGCACTGTCTCGCTGGTTGGTGCTTGCACAAGCACGACTGACGTATTCTTCTCAGCCTTCCGGTTTGGGGTTGCTCGAGGTTTATAAGGCCGTAGGATCGCTGCACTGGCCCCAATGGCAACAACCCTCGACTCCGAAAAGAGCCGACCGATCAATGCAAGAATAGGTAAGTAGTGCAGCTGCGGTGGCCCAAGATTAATACACAATTTTGTGCCCGCGTTGCCAACCCACAGATAAAGACAAAGGTTGGTGCTGCGACTGGCAGACAAGACACGTCCTTGCTCCATCTCAGTGAGCTTCACGGACAACAATCCCGGAGGATTTCGTGCAGTCCTGCGCTCTCGCGACGAACGAACATCGACCGCATGGGCTGCTGCTCGCATGTAGGTTGCTGGCGACAAAGCCTCTCGTAGGCTCTGAATATCCTGCTGCACATGCCCCAAACGAGTACGTAATGTCTTAAGAATGCACAGCAATGAAGCAATTCTTTCAGATTCTTTCACTGATGCAGATGCTTTCGAACTGCGCTCTACAACTGCAGCCGAAATATAAGACTCAGAATCAAAAGCCGGCACCTCCCAGAACGTCGCAGCCTCAGGCACAACAGTGCCATATTGTGATGCTGAATAGATTAGGCTGCCATGCTGAGGCAATTGCTCGGCGTGTGAGCGCGTCAACAAGTCGAACACGTATCCTGTCTTGCATGCGCCATCTTGCGCTGGCATCCACCGCGTCGTCATGCGCGATTTTCGATCACCATCGCAGGGAGCACATGAGACTCTCCTTTCGTCCAGGCCAAACTTCTGGACTAAGGACATGATTTCGCCTCGACAAACGCAAGTATATACCTACACAGGGACAATCACACGCCTGACAAGCCTTGCATGATGACAGGATCCGGCGGTGGCTTGGGAGCAGCCTGGACGATCGAGCTTATGCTGAAAGGCACTCAAACACGAAGGCAAAGCATCCTGCTTCCGACTCGTGTGCCTGTGCTGGAGCAGGAAGGGGGTCTGGCAGCCAACAGACATGAAGACCAAGCAACATGAGTGCTTTGGTTGCATTCCCTATTGCAAACAGATGCTTGGCAAAGCTCCTCTAGGAATTATGCTTGCCTGCGTCGTATTCAGGATCTTGGCTTTGCAGCTGCATGATTGCCACCTAAGCCACTGCTTGTTCGAGCTACAAAACCCGCTTCTCCGAGCAGCATGTCCGAGTAAAGAACTCTTGCTTGTGCTTGCAGCTGCTCCTCGCATTGTCAATGAGAGACTGCTGAAATACCACGTGCACTTCCCAAATACGGAGCTAGAACCCAAATGTCTAGCTGCTCTATGCCTTATGTCCCGTCCTTTTGAAGCTTATTGCGAAGCGGTTTTCCATGCAGGTGGTTTCTTTTCCCTCTCGCATAGCTAAGGATCAAAGCCCACAAGCGAGGTCAGTTGGGGAAGCATCGAAGACAAGCCTATAATGTCAAAAAGACTCTCAGTCAAGACTAAACCTAAATGAGACCCTGGGGAGACCAAGAGTCAACGCAGGTGGTTTCAAAGTGACGGATTCATGCTTGATGGATGGCTGCATGTGAAGTTTTCGTGAAGTTCTCTCTTAACCAATAATCTGTTTTCACGGGGCACGGCTGCAGTGGCAACCCGCTCGCTGGATGCAGCGGGTCCACGTCCTCCGGAAAGCGCGTGAAATCCAATAATACATTGGCCCCCGCGGCGCGTCCGTATCCTCCGTCCGGAAAGACGATTGCACAGCGATTCATTGCGAAATCCAATGCAACTGGCACGATGTTTCCTCAAAATGACAACGTGTCCCTGCGCAACACATGGGTTGCTGCGCTCAGGTTAGCATACGGGAAAATTTGCTGGTATGTCTGAATCCCGCCAGCACGTGGGGAAGTCTTTTGGCCGTGTTCTTGAAAGA